GCCCAGGAATAAAAATGGATGCTAATGTGGGAGCCATTGGAGTGACTTTATTTTGGTGTCTCTTTTAAAACTTTTACATTATTGTAATAATTGTAAAAATAATTTACCAAAAAACTTCTTAAGTGTTTCACTGACCCTTAAAACTCTGACTTTTGGTTCATTTGTGCAAAGGAAGAGGTATTTTTTATTAGATTAAACTTATTCCTGTGAGAGCAAGGACCAAAGGTAGGCAGCTAGTGGCTAAGTAAGGACAGCTGCAAGGACGTATCATAAAGTAATTTTTGTTACGTTTAAGGCTAAAGACTCTCCCAGTATGTCTGAGTAGCCAGTTCTAATATGCCTGCCTATATCGAAGGCATTCCCTTACATGGATGGAAAAGCCAGTCACTCTCAAGATCATGCTTCCCCTAGAGTCACCGTCAACACAGTGCATGCAAAGCTCTCAGCAAGTCCCAGCATCTTCACTGGGAGGGTTAATGATCTAAGTATCACATCACTATCCTATTTGTGAACTGTCAAACAATACATGACATTTATATCTGTCCTATTGTCTAGCACCGAATATCTGCTCAAAAATATTGGCTAAGGGCATTCGTAATGGGATCCGGAATCCTGCACTTTGTTTTATTTTATTTTACTTTTTTGGTTTTTCTCCGGTACCGGGAATTGAACTCACGACCTTGCGCTTGCCAAGCAGGCACTTTTGCCGCTGAGCTAAACCCCCAGCCCCTGAAATCCTGCACTTTGAAAGAAGAGTTTCTATCTCTTCTACTGCCCCTGAAGGGACATTGTGCTATTTTGGACTGTAGTGGGTGCTTTGGGCTCGGGTCTTCTTCCTGGGCTCTCCGGTACACTACAGCACATGTCTGCCCCCTCTTTTCTGGGTAGGTGAGGTGGTATCCAGGTTAGCCCTTGAAGTGAGATGTGTTTCCTGGATGAAGCATGTAAGTGGCCAGAATAATTCCCAGCTCTCAGCAATCACCTCTGCATTCACACATGGAGACGTGAATCAGATGGAGGAGTTGGGACTCCTGAGTCCCCACGTGAAAAGGCGCCCACAGATCCTCCCTGGGAATCAACTTCAACTGGGCTAAGTCAGAGATTTCAGGATTTGCCTCGCTGTAGTCCTTACCATGACTAATGTATCTATAAATTCCATTTCCTCTCCATAAAACAAAGCAGGAGTGTGCATTAAACATAAACTCAGTTAAAGACATTGTTCCTTACCTATTTGGTGGAGGCCATGAGAGATGTTTTGTAATAGATAAGTCCATTAAGTGACTTTCTCTCCTTTATAAAATTACATGAGAAATTTCTCAACTTTTGACAGTTAAGCTTCAATGTCAACTTGATTTGCTTGGAGTTGCCTAAGGAACAAAGCACTTTTCTGGGTGTGTCGTGGAGGCATGACCTTGGGATCTCCATCTGGTGCCTGGAGCCTTCCTGACACTGTTCCCTGGCCACCATGAACTAAGGAGTTGTGTACGCCTCCATATCCTCCTACTTGGAGGAAGTCAGCCATGGACTGAGACCTCTGAATTAAAACCTCTTCTCTTAAATTGTGTTGAGTAGGGTATTTTGCACTAGCAATAGGAAAGCTAATAGTCCAGAGAAGGCTTAGCACTGGAGAATAAAGTTAGCAAGTATGATTCCTATGAATGGATCCTTTTTACTTTTTGCCTTGCCTACTAATCAAGCTCAGATCCAAACATGTGGATTATGTACAGCCTCCTGGAAGGCATTTTAGTCAACTCACGACCATCATCACTTTATTACTACAAACTCATTTTCCATTTGGGTCCTGATTTACCTAATTTTGTTCACTTTATACAGTCTCGTAAGTCTCTTAACAACATTCTTAAGTTTTCCAACAACTTCCTTTTGGTGAAGGGGATCCACAAGATCAGGAAGTGTGAGAACCCCGTTTTTAGAATAAACTGTGGACAAATTACCATGAGCTGTCCCTCTCCTAACATTGGTAGAGGCAGACAGTATAGATCAGCTGAGTTTAACACTGAATGCTAGCAATTTGAATTTAGTCTTCCATGTTTCATGATTGCTAACTGTTCCTTTGATTTCAACAGAATAGCTCAAAACATAAGGGAATGGTGTCAGTTTGGTGCAGAATACACAGTTAAGAGTGGTCTGAGGCTCAGACTTTAATGCAGTAAGACTAACAACATGGACATGGCCCGACAGTGGCTGGGACTTAGAGTCGGTTTAAAGTGACTGAGCTCACGGACTCAAGTCTCCTGATGGAGTTTAAGCCCTGGCTCTTCCCTTGAAACTTCATGCATCACTTTCACATTTTTGATGGAAAACATTGCCTCCATATGATGCTCCCAGTCATTGATGAATACCTGATGTAGGAATACTGTATTAACAATTTAAAATCCTAGCTCACACCTCACCTTAATGTTCCCTCTCCACACCTGTGTAGACTCACGGGCTCAAGATAGCTCTTACGCACATGCACAGAAAGGCAGCTCTGCACCATTTCTGCACTTCCTCTCTGTGGTCACATCCACAAATGATTTACAACAGATGCACATAGACACATGTGAAAAAATTCTTTATTCATTTCTCACATTTCATTACAAAATGTATGTTGCAAACAACTTGAATAACCTACTTGTGGGTTTTATTTATTTATTTTTTGTTTTGTTTTTAAACCCTTGGCTTCAAGGACTCAGGATTTCCCCATCTTTTATCAAGTATTGGGAAATACTGATTATTGGAGTCAATAGGTTATTATTTTGCTATTTATTTTCTTCTCTCAAACTCTGAAAAAAATGTCCTCTGTATAAATTAAACAACAACAACAAAAATGTTGTAAATTCTATGTCATTACAGTCAACAGAATTATAGTAATGCATCCAAAATGTGCGGCCACAAAATATCAGGTATATGTTTGAAAAAGAAAAAAAATGACATTCTAGCCTTGTTAAAAGGATAATGGTCCCATATTTTTATTAACAGGTTAGCAAAACAAAATCCAATGGATTACAATATTTACATGTTATCTGAAAAATAATGTAGTGATAAAAGCATGTCACAATTATTTTCTCTTTTTTTTTCCTTTTTCTTCCTTTTTTGTTTGTTTGTTTTTTTGGTCAATAACCATTACAAACACCCAATCCAGGTATGGAACTGTTTAATACATTTGAAATGAGGCCAATTAAAAACAAATATGGACACAAAATGAATCTGTCTAGATAATTCACACTTTCCCCATTTTCTGGTTTCCACATGATGGCCCCCCATCCCTAGAAAAAAATTAAATTAAATGTCCTACAAATAAAAATTCTTAACGGCAAAAAAAATAAAAGTACAACATGCTTTTCAAGTAAGCACTTACTCCACAAATGCAACATCTTTCCATGGATTTTATTTGAAGCTGTGTGGGACACTCTCCTCTCAGCAGTCCCCCTTCCCTTTCTCCCCTCCCCCCTCCCCAACCCTTCCAAGTTAAAAAACAAAACAAAACAAAACAACAAAAACAAAACATGAAAACCAAAGGACTCACACTCACACACATCCGCACATACACATGCACATATTCACACATCCAAGCTCACACGCAGTCAGGCTTCTAAAACCTAGGCTTCAAGAAAAGTTCTTTTCTACTTTTTTGGAATGAAACCCTTTGTTCACAATCAGAACATATTATAAATGTAGACATAGATTTAGTCTAAGCTGCTCCTTCCAGAAAAAGCTAATATGGGGAAACAGAGCAGCTGGCAGCTAGATTTAAAAAAAAAAAAAAAAAAAAAAAGGTAGTTCTCCAGGCTCCTTGTAGGATATATGTCATTTCTTTTCCACTCTTGCCAAAGGGATGGGATTCTAGCACACCCCTTCACCTCCCCAAAATAAATGAGAACCCCTCGCAAAACACAATGCAAACAGAAACACAGACTTTACAATCATACACAGAAGCCAGCCCATGCTAAGAGAAATTATCGGTGTGAGACGGATAATGTGTTAATTTGACAAGCAACAAAAGGGTGACGAGGACCTCTTCGTCTGGCCCACAAGCTGCATAGCTGTGCCGAAAGTTTGGTTCTTTAGTTAAATAAAAAATTAAAAAAAAAAAAGAAAGAAAGTTAACTTCTTTGTTATTTCCATGTTTAAAATAAAAACATTCCTATTCACAAAAAACTAAATCTCCCTTGCCCCCAAAATCAAAACAATAATAACAACACACACACAAAAAACAATTCATGTGAAAAACTGAATTGTGCTGTGTTCGTAACACTCAAATCGATAGAAAATAAACATGTGGCGAACAAAACTCCACAATCATCTTCAAATTAGCTCACATGAATCTACCAAATTCTAAATTATAGTTGAACACTAATAAACAGCTTACCTGGAATAAAGGATGACAATTCACAAACAGTTGTCTAATAATTAAAGTCTGTTTCTTTTTTTTGTTTTGTTTTTTACTAAAATAATTAAAAAAATCACAGTATTTTAAGAAATAAAACCCACGTGGGGATTTTAAGCACAATTTGTGTTCCTTTCTTTAAAACTCTTTTTTTTTTTTTTCTCCATTCACCATCTTGCCCAGCAGTTCTCTCTACATTTAACCACAAGGACGACAGGTAGTACTGACAAATGCAGAGAATTCCCTTGGTTAAGTTTGAGGTACTAGGAAACAGGTGACTGTTTTATGCAAAGCAGTTTTTTTTTGTTTGTTTTGTTTTCTGTTTTTGTTTTATTTATTTATTTATTTATTTTTTTCCCAAAGCGGCTGCAGTTAGGTCTTGAAAAAGCTTAAGGTATTAAAACTAGAAAAACGCACTGAAAGGTGTGCGTCAAAAAGTTGTTCCCCTATGAGAAGTCTTCTACTGTCCTGGAGCTTCTGCTTCAACACACTGTCCAAGACCGTCACAGAGCGCACTGTGCCCAGGGAAGGCGCTTCCATATCCACAACAAAGGAAAATGTCCACGGTGAAGATCCGGAAGGAAAGATGTAGTGATGGAAAAGGAGCCACATATTCCAACCATTTAAATAACTTTAATTTACATACTCACTCACACAGGTACCAGTGCTTTGAAAATAGATTGTTCAGTCCTAAAAAGCAGCTTTGTTCTGTCTTCTCTTTACTGTCCCTCCCTTCGCAGCCCATGCTGGCCCTCCCACCTTTTCATCATGGTTCAAGTACGGTTTGATTAAGAATTTCACCAAACTCTTATTCTTTTTTGGCCTCTGCATTCTCCAGGAGAGATTTGTCGGCAGCTACTACACAGATGGCTACTGTTTCACTTCTTAGGGAAAAGTCTATCCCGATTGGCTCATCGTCTTCCTTTTCCTCTATGGAGGGCATTGTGATACTGTCCTCCACCATCTCCTTTGGGTGGAGCTCTTCTCTGATCACTTGCTTGGTGTCATTCAATGACCTGCAATAAACATTTATGGGAGGGACAAATGAGTGTGTATGCTATTATTAATTAATCAAAAAAGACTGTCCTTATTTCCCTGATCCTAAAAAGCTTTAGGTGATTTCCTCTGAAAAGAAAAAGCTATGCATGGAGGACTAAATTGCCAGTGATGTAGCCTTGCTGGCTGTGCAGGTCATGTATTTCTGTAGAGTTTTAAAGATTTAAACAAAAAAGTCCATCGTTTTGATGACACCATGTTTGGTTTCTAGATTAACATAATGGTTTTATGTCATCTTCTCTACTGAGTCATGAGGGGTGAAACAGAAAAAGTGTGTCATGCTCAAGTTCATCAGCTCAGCCCCAAAGCTTGAAGACTGGCTATACTAAGAAGAAAAGGGCAACTCAGGTACTAAAGATGTATTGGGCAGGTCAGAAACAAATCATAGAAACAAACAAACAAAAAAAACCTGAAAGATGAAACTTAAATCTTGTGAACCTTAGTTATATTCTTGCAAGCCTCGCCAATTGCAGTTTTGTGGAATTTTCTCCAGAAAGGGTTGAACCAAGCTTCCCTTGGTGTCTGGTGGACTAAGTGTGCCTTGGTGAGGGAACGTTTTTATGTTCAGGGATCTGAAAGCTGTCTGACAGGTCTGCTGTCACCTACCGGGGAAATGGGCAGAAGCTGTCTCTGTCCTGAGACAGGGCATAGACATATTCAAGGACACTCAGGGAATGGTCCAGCACAAGGACAGGCATAGAAGCCCTGATATATGTTCTGGAAGAGAATGTCACGCTAATAAAAACTAGTGAGACCCTGCCTAGAGAAAACACTACTTGTGAGTGTGGGTTTGTGAGGGATTTGTCATCTGGAACGGTTTCCTTCATCTGCATGATGCTTTAAAAACCAGCAGGAAAACCTGATCCCTTCTTCACGATGGCCTCTCCTCCTGAGGTGATGCAGCTGGGGGTGCAGGGTGTCTATGCAGTGTCCTGGGAACCAAAGAAGAAGCCCAACCTCCCTCCTCCCCTGTCGTTTTGGATGAAATTCGTTCTGGGGACGGCGCGACTTACATGCCGTGTCTCAGCACGTGTCTTTCCCACTCAGAGCCCTGCGAAAATGCCCGTCCACAGAATTCACACGGAAAACGCTTCTCAGGGTTAATAGCAGCCCCATGGTCAGAAAATCTCATCAGCTCTGCAAAGAGAAAGCACAGGTGTGAACTGCGTGCTGTGGGGGTCGGCAGAAGAAGCAAGTCCACACTCACTGGCCGACGCTTTCCTTCCTCACCTGCGAAGGAAACCAGGGATCACTTTCCAGACTCCTCACCCTTCGGGTTTCCCTGAGATGCATTCCACCAGTAGCCCCGCGCTCCTCCATTTCTGGCATTTTCCTAGCTGCCATTGTCACAAGTAATCGGGCTCTTTCTGGCCAGAAGAGCCGCATCTGCCCATTCTTAAGACACCTGAGCTTTCTTTTTTTCCTACTTAATCTTTCCCTTAGGTATGCTTTCTATTAGTGCCTCGTAGTTTTGCATCTATTCATTTCCTATTTGACACAGGTTTATCTTTACTCAGCAAAAACAATACAGGCTACACAAAAGCACCCCGTCCCTCAGCGTAGACCTCAGGGGTTCTGCCATTTCTGAGGGAGGCCAGAGCCTCAAGACTGTGTTACGGATATCATCAACACCTGTCAGAGTGGTTAAGTGCCCTGAGTGAGATCTACAAGCAACTTTGTGTGACTGTGATTCTGGACAACTGGTATGCCAAGTCATGTGCCTGGCCAATAAAGGGTCCCGGCCAGCTCCCTGACATCTACTGTTCAATCAGTGGCGCACACGAGTGTGGGGATACACAGGCTTTCCTGGACAGGTCTGTGGTAAGCATTCAACATTGACCCGGTTGCTTTGTTTTTTCTGTGATGCTGGGCAATGTTAGGGTTCCGCTCAGTAGAGACTGGCTGGCTAATTGTTTTCATGCCACACCTCCTGGCAAACTCAAAGATGAAAGCTTATATGGCCTTTGTGTTCTCCTAAGTCCCAAGCCCATATGTCTTTCATTAGACCACAGAGGGCCAAGTCTTCATATGGTAATAACAGCCGGACTAGAGGATGGTCCTACAGCCACACTGTCAAGTGAGGGCTGCCCTTAGGGAAACACGGACCATGTTTACACATGTGACTGCTCCAGGCCCCACATATAAGATGTGATAGGAAGAGGTCTGCTGGTTGAAATACCCCATCTCATAAAACCCTCAGGATGACATTAACAGGATAAGGGCTCTGTGACACCTTAATCTTCAGCACAAAAAGCTGTGTGAACGGGGCCAGTTTTCACAAAAGATGAAACATTTTCTCACAAATTAAGAAGATCACCATACAAGCCATTAAAAATAATTGCACAGACTATCTTCCTTGATTCTTTTCATTGGAAATGAGACAGCACCATCTGCTCTGCGCATTAATTCCTTAGCAGGGATTATCTTGGGCAAGAAATCAACAGAATGCCTTCCTGACTCCTCCCCAGTGGCATAATGAGAGGGGGTGGGGTGGGCAGGATTCTGTTAGGGTGCATTTTGATTTCTTCATGCCTGGTTTCTCCTCTTTCAAATTCCCCCCAAGTTTCCCCGGCAGGCCCTGCTGTGTGTCCATGTTAAGTCCTTCACCAGACCTGGCGTTTGGAAAGGAGGCTGGGAACAGGGTAGCTGTGAGGCTCTGAACTCCCTACATTGAGGGTGTCTAAACTGACAACAAGGGGAATGTTCCTGGTGCACCGGCTCGCTTACCCTTGGGAAATATGAAACCAGCCATCTATTCTTTCCAACGGCACATGCTAAGTTTCATCCTCAAAGGAGGAGGCCACTCATTACCTGTCACACTTCAAATAGCTCTCCATCAGCCTGGGAGCCGCGCTACTCCTAGAAGCCAGAGTGTCTGGCAAAAACACCCCGAGGCTATTGTCTGCCGCTGCTTCTTCTTGGCAAGAATCTACTGAAATGGTGGAAAATTGATTCTAGGTCTATTCAAAGGAGGAGGGACAAAGGAGGCCGTTCTCGCAAAGTGGGGAAGGGGGAAGGGAAAGTTAGGTTTGTTAATTCCCACGGACATGTCTGGAAGTAACTGGGGGAAATCCCCTGCCCCCTGGGAGGAAGACGCGCTTCTCCCTCCATAGTGTTTTCTCCATAGGCTCAAGGCTCATGCATGTGCTTCCAGTGAGAGCAGAGACCGCAGGGTTCTTTCCAATTACGCCCTTCCAGCCCGATGCATCACAGCCCAATGAAAGGAGAAGGCCAAGCCTGGCAAGAAGGGAAAATCCGCACTACGTCCCACACACATCTCAACTGCCATCTTTTCTCATTTCCCACGTTTGTTTTAGTCACAGGGAAGGGAAAATAAAAGAGGTTTCTGCCTTGTAATGTTCCTAATCTCTAAAATAATGTGCACTCAGCTTCAGACATTTAAGAGTCATAATATCCAATGAGGAATAATTTATTTCCTGAAGAGCAACAGCAGGGCCACTGAGAACCAGGAAGAAAGAGAAGTTTTTGTACCCTCTGTCAGAAGCACACTCTCCCAGAGTAGTCTTGTAACAGGGCACAGATGTAAGAATTCATTGTGAGGAACATATTTGTGAAAACGTTTAAAAAGAGGAAGAAAAAGCTATGTTTCTGCGATCACAACCATTTTCCTTCTAAGAAATGGGTGAATACATTCCCTAATGATAAATGTGCTACTTTACATGAATAATCCACCTATATGGTGAAGATTTATGTCCTTGTGTATTTTTTAGATTACCATAGGCTTGGGGTATTTTACAAGCGAGCACACATTCGCTGTCAGTAACCTGCTGTCTGTCTTGCTCAGAAGCTCGAGTGCCAAACTAGACCCCCAACTTACAAAACCATAGTCCTCTGCCCTGGCTGTCAACAGGAGTGTTGGGTGCAGGTGAGGGAAGGGGAAGGGACTACGAAAAGGCCGTAGAGGGAAATAGCTCACCAAATAGGCCTGCTCAAGCTTGCAGCCTGAGCAAGCAGGGGAAATAATAAAGACATTCTGCTTTTAAAAGTGTGCCTTTAAGGGAGGTCCCAAAGACCTCACTTTTATGGCCAAGTCCTCTTCAATAAAGCACATTTCACTACCTGCGGGCTTGGGAAAGTGGTATGTAGTATAATAGGTCTTGCCTAGAGTCGTGGCACAGGCCTGTGATCCCAGCCCTCTTGGAGGCTGAGGGAGGAGGATTATAAGTTCAAGCCCAATTTGGGCAATTTAACTATTTAGTGAGGTCCTATCTCAAAGGAAAAAAAAAAGACTGGAATATAGGTCAGTGCAGAGGCCCTGGGTTCAATCCCAGTACTGGGGGAAGAAAGAAAGAAAGAAAGAAAGAAAGAAAAAAAGAAAGAAAGAAAGAAAGAAAGAAAGAAAGAAAGAAAGAAAGAAAGAAAGAAAGAAAGGAGTCTTCTTGCTTTTGGAGCCTAAGGCCTAAATTCAACCTCTACTATTTTTGTTTGTAAACTTTACTTTCCATAAGCTCTTCAACTTTCTAGAGCTTTATTTTTCCATGTGTAAAATGAAAATAATGACAGGTTGTAGGGTTATCATTTATTATGTGGTTAATATGCTCTAGGAACTAAGCTAAGGTCTTGAATGTATATATGTGTATATGAATCTATTTATTTATTTGCAGTTCTAGAGAAAGAACTTAGCACCTCATGCATGCTTGGCAAGTACTGTACTACACTGCTAACATATACTCTTAGCCCTTATTTAATCTTTACAATGAAACCACAAAAGACCCCAAATAGCCCTAAAAAATCTTAAATAAATTAAAGTTGAAAGCATCACACTACTTGCCTGTCTGTCTGTTTGTTTGTTTGTTTGAAGACAGGGTCTTGCTATGTAGTTCAGGCTAGCCTCACAGGAATCCTCCTGTCTCAGCTAGGATTACAGACATACACAACTATGCCTGGCTAACATCGTACTATTTGACTTAAATCTACTACAGAATTAAGGTAACTGGCATTAAAATAGACATACAGACCAATGCAATAGAGTCCAGAAATAAATCCACATATTTACAATCAATTGGTTTTTGAAAAAGCTGCTAAGAACACAATGGAGAAATGGCAGTCCCTTCAATAAATTCTGAATTGGCTAATATACATTCAAAAGAATGAACCCAGAGACTTATTTCACATAGAATAAAAAAAACTCAACCCAAAATGGCTAAAAGACTTACAAACATAGTGCCTGACACTGTAAATCTACCAGAGGAAAATGGGGAAACTGTATGACACTGGCCTGGGCAGTGAACTTTTTGATATGACTTGTAACATAAGCAACTAAAACAATGGCAGGCATGGGATTACATCAAACTAAAAACAAATGAAAATAACAAAGAGAGAATATTTATAAGTCACACACTTGGTAATTGGTCAAAATCTGAAATATATAAGGAAGTCAAAGAACTCAATATACAATCCATTAAGTAAACAATCCATTAAGAAAAAGGACAAGAGATCTGAATAGCCATCTCTCAAAAGACGATAGAAAACTGGCCAACAGATATGTAAAGATGTTCAGCATTGATAGAAGGAAAGAAAAATTAAAACCACAATGAGATATGACTTCATGTCTGTTAGAATGGCTATTACCAGAAAAGGGAAGCACAATTAAGTATTGGTGAGGATATAGGAAAAAGGGGGTACTCGCACACAATTAGGGATGAAAATTGGTGTAGTCATTATGAAGACAGTATCAAAGTTCCTCAAAAAGTGAAACTTGGAACTGCTGCATGATCCAGCAATCCCACTACTAGATTTATATGCAAACTAAATGAATGAGATGAGTGTGCAAGCAGCACCTGCATTCCAATGGGCACTGGAGCATCATTCCCAATACCTGAAATGCAGAGTCAACCTGGGCATTCTTTAGTGGATGAATGGATAAAGAAAATGGGATGTATATCCACACTGGAATATTACTGAGCATTACTTAGCGTGGGGTGTGAATCCTGTCATTTGTGACAGTAGGAGTAAATCTAAAGAATATTATATAGAAAGAAACAAGCCAAGTACAAAAAGATAGCTAATGAATGACCTCCCAGAATTTCAAAAGGTCAAACTCAGAAGCAGAGACTATAATGGTGGTTACCAAGGGTAGAGGTGGGGAGCTGGGGGGATGTGGGTCAAAAGATACGAATTTCTAGTCAGAAGGAAACATAAGTTCAAGAGATCTATTGTAGAGCATGGTGCCAATAATGAGTGACAACATACTGTATACTTGAAATTTGCTAAGAAAACACTTTAAGTGTTCTCACCACAAAAAAGTAGGTGAGTTAATACATATGTTAAATAAATTTAGTAATTCCAAAATGTTTCAAAATACCATGTTGTACACCATAACCATAGACAATTTATAATAAATTAAAAATAAATAAAACGTTAAATATAACACCAAAGCTCCATATCTAAAGTTTTATATATTTAAAGCCATATAATACATGTATATTATAATCCTAGGAAGCAGGTTATGATATGATTCTGATTTTATGAATGATGAATGTAGAAGGAGATAAATTATTCAAAGTCCTACAGCTAGTACGTAGCAGCAGTGCAAGCCAAATTCAGACAGAATATTAGGTGAGATTAAAGAAAAAACATTACATACAAGGGCCACCAACACTGACCCTGGCAAGTAACGATGCTCAGTAATGACCACTAATACTGTTTTCCTCATCACCGGGATGATCCACGTTTACTTCTCATATTATCCAGATGCTTTTGATAAATCAGCAGTAACTAAAGCAACATAGCACATCCCAACCTATACCCTTATGTGTATGGCCTGGGAATTTCCATAATATTCCACACTGAACAACGCAATGAAGCAACACTTTAAGTGCCTACAACTGAATATACTTTTGAAACTTTTTTATTCTGAATTAATATTGGACTTGAAGAAGTTGGCAAAGTAGTTCAAAAGGCCCATGGAACCTTCCCCAAGGTATTCTGTATATACACGGCGGAATGAAAAACGCGGTTTCTCTTTTCCCCACAGAGGGAAACAGTTCCAAAGGGTTAAGGGAAGGGCCTCGCAGAAGGGCGCATGGAGAGGGCTCAGGCTCTCCGCAGACTCGCTCTCCAGTCCCAGCAATAGTCATTTTAAACAAGCGCTCAATCCCAAATTCATTCTCCTTCCTCAGTAGCCTCCCAGTGTCATTCATCTGCAATCTGCCTGTCCTCATTCTGACGAATCCCTAGACGCTACTTTTCCTTGTTAAAAACAAATCACTGCCACATATTTTTAAAACATCCATATATCTATAATTAGGGAGAAAATGTCTGTTTTCCTTGGAGTTTCTAGAGCTGGTAATAGTTTACAAAAAGATGGCCCCTGATGTTTCTTCAGACAGTCTGTTCTGCTACTTAACTAAGAAGGATCATTCCTTCTGTTACTCCCACAGCGACCTCCTGCCTCCCTTCTGTCTCACCACAACGTGGTGGATGCCATCTGGGATGCAGAGAGCAGGAGGAGACTAACCTCTGTCTTCAGCCTTGCTGTTCATTTCCTCCTCCTTGTCCTCATCATCGCTGCTGGAGCTCTCCATTTTTTCCTTCATCTGTTCCAGCTGGTCCAAGTTAACCCGTCCAACCAGCTCGAAGTTGCGGCTTACCTGAAAAACATCCAAACAAATGATGGGATAATGAACTGTAGATTGAATGTGGGTCTCCCTGTGGAGACCTTTGCGACATCATCTTCCTGTGACTCTGTTTTTGGAACCCAGATTAAACAACTCAGGTGCCTAAGAGGTCGTTTTCTTCATTGCAACTCTCAGAGATGGGTCTGTCCTCTGTTCTCAAATGGACCATTTTCTCCGGAACTGTCAACATGGGACCTTCCTTACCAACTTTCTTAAGAAACAGTACAAGAGACAGGAGGCCAAATGTACTGTGAAGTCTAGCGTATGGAGTAGGCATCCAATAAATATTTTTTGAGTTGAATTCAAAGGTGTGATTTTCATAAATTACCCAAAGTTCATAAACTGGGAAAAAAGAAACTCCGAAAGGGTCCGGGCCCCTATCAGTGAGAATCACAGCCTTCTCTGCTGTGAACCTTCTCTGTCAAGGGCTGTGGGCTGCTCTAGCTTAGGCCCCCTAACAATGATTTCCCTCTTACTCTAGTTTAGATGGAAGATAATACTACTGCTGTTAGTTTAAGTACTATATTTGAAGCTTTGCACAGAGTACTGATCATGGCTGCTGTTATCTGAGAAAAACAGAAATGACTAGGCCCTTTCAAAGCCCTTTAAAAGCATTAGCTATGGTTAGTTCTTATTCATGTAAAATGTGGTTAGATTAGACTAATGTGGGATTCTAACTTTCCTTCAAAATACCACTCGAGGAAAACAAAAATCCATACTAAGAAAAGTTTTTAATGAGATTCCGTTTTGAGTTATCAGATCAATGGTAGCACAGGATTCACCTGTTAGCCTACTTTCAGAGTCTCTCCAGTTGCCCGCATAAAATTACCAGGATTGACAGGCAGGGCTGAAGTCATAAACAAGCACAGGCTACTCCTCTGTGTAAAGCACTACGCCTCCCTTCTTGCGGGGCAGAGAGGTGCATAACAAGGATAAATTAGACTTGGTTCTGGCCTCCAGAGGCTCACGGGTCAGTTAAGAGGGAAGGCAGACATCACGAATTAGATTCCAAGACAGATTTGCACGGCTGCCATGGTAGAGACACAGTGTAATGGGTACAGAAGAGGAGAGAGAGAATTTACAAGACAATTCCAAAATATTCTCTGGGACCAGACTGGAACAAAGATTTGCTGAGCACCACCAATTCCATATGCCTGGCAGATGGGAACACCATCATTGGCTGTAACAAATGTGAGAGCGACTCAGAGTATCGGGGCCAACAGACATCCTGCAAAAAGGCTTAATATTGTCCCAACAACATCATATAGGTCCATGGAAGAGGAGGGAAGGAACTCAGGAAAGTAAGCTCTTTTCAATCAGGGGAAACAAAACCTTGCTCTGTCTATAGGAATGGAATCCCCGAAATCAGCTGACTTGGAAAACAAGCCAAGACAGGATGTCTTATTTATCAGTCTCAATGATAAACACTTAGGAAAGGTAACTTCTTGCTCTGCTTATTTAAAAAAGTTTCAAAGAAATTAATAAAGTGAGAAGGAGGAGGAAGAGTTCAAGTTCAGAATCTTTGCTTGTTTTTCTCCTCTAAGTCCACAGAAACAGCCTGCAACAGCTTGCTAAGGAGGGTTTTACTACTATTCCTCACCTGCACAGACACGTATGAATTTTTATTTTTTTAAGGCATGAGAGCAAAAAGAATTAGCACAAGGAGCCTAAGCTTTAAAAAGAGGCAGAACTGGGGCTGGGGATTTAGCTCAGCAGCAAAAGCGCCTGCCTGGCAAGCGCAAGGTCGTGAGTTCGGTTCCCGGTACCGGAGAAAAACCAAAAAAAAAAAAAAAAAAAAAAAAAGAGGCAGAACTGAATGCAAGTTCCAGGTTTGCTGCAACCACTGTGTTAGCATCGTACCTGAAACGTAACGACCCCCACTCCGCCAATACCGTTTCCTTCCCCTTGCTGGGCACATGGGTCTTTCCCAATTTTGGCATTTGGAAATTCTTATAACAAACATTATAAATACATATTTATGCAGTTGTGTTTGGCCACAAAGTCATTTTAACCAAATAGCATTCATGACCAATATTTCAATAAGAGTATTCTGCCTCGCTAGTTTTTCAGGAAAGGTAGGCAAGGTTGCTTCCCATTTTCCTAATTTTAATATATGGCTGGAGAAAAACTATTTTAAGTGACCAATACTTAGAAGGAGCCTTTTCTGGACCGCTCGTTCACTTAGTTCCTACCAGGGAGACTGCAAATATGTGTATGGGACATGGAGTGGGGGGCAGTTTCCCAGAAACAGAAGCAATGAAACCAAGAAAGCCAAAAGGCAATCCTCAAGCACCTCTAATCCAGCTGTACTCACTCATTCATTCATCTATCCAGCATGGGCTCCCTGAGGTTTTGCTCTGTGCCAAGCGCTGGTCCTTATTGGAGCTCCTGCTTCTTATGGAGCTTACAGTGACAGAAGGAGATCTGTCACCAAACCAAATGTTACTTTTTTCCATCCTTCTGGGAGTTTTTGAGAACTGTATTTGTCCATTTTCCCGTAGCCATCATCCCGTTGCTAGAAAACTGTTAACATTTTGGATTCTATGCTCTTTTAAAATAGTGTCTGAGATTTTCGTGGTAGGATGCTCATCCTGGGCTAACCCACGATTTATTTATCCTGAGGATTTGTACAATTTTTGCAAGGCAATTAAAAGATTTAAAAGTGAAGCAGTAAAAATTTTGCTATGTAATTAGAAGACTTTAAAAATGAAAAGCTTTCATACTGTTGGGTTGTTACTTTATTTAAAATTCCCCAAACCAGTCATCCAAACCTTAATCTGAATACAAAAGGAAGACTCTTTTCATATTTCTGAGCGCATCATCTTTTTCACCTGCACTATCGCAACTGCCACCTCCTTGCTGGTTCCCTGGCATCTACTCTTAGCTCTTCTTGTATCTATTCTCCAGTGTGGTCACAATGTTTTTCCCACCTGTTTAAAATTTAAATCCCTTCATGTCAGTCTACGCTTGAGGATAAAATCCAAATTTTTCTTACTGTGGTTTTCACAGCTGGCTATTATCTCATGTTAGCCCAGCCTCTCCAGCCCACCACCCTCATCCTGATCTTGCTGAGGTTCCTGGAAGTAGCCACACTCCTGAGGTTTGTTTGGCACCTGCCATGTCTCCTTTTGGAAACTGTCAGTCATGCTCCCACATGTGTTGACTCAACCTTTTTGCTTGGCTCCTGTCTTCCCTTCTGGGACACCTCCACCACTCTCCCCAAGTTAATATCCTTTCTCTGGTTCCACAGCACCTACATGTCCCCTTGGAAAACACTCCATTGGAAAATAATTGTTTAAGTCCTGCTTCTTTCCCAGTGAACAGCAAACTTCACGAGGACAGATCTTCTGTACCTTTTACAGCTAAATCTCCACTAGCTAGCACTGTGTAGATTAAAATGAGTGCTGTTAGCATCTTGTAGCTACAACTGAATACCTTCACTGTATTTTTATATATATTTTGCATTTTCATCATTAATATTTTTCTCATATAAAGCCTCACATAGGAAATGTGGAAAATAGAAAAGAACCTAAAACCCGACTACCTATTCTTAATAACCATTAACAAATTGTTGTATTCCTGTTCTCCAACTACAGATTATTGTCATTTCTATATCATACTAAAATAAACAAGTGTGTCTCCTGGGCCAGGGATATAACTCAGTGGCACAGTGCCAGCCTGGTAAGCGCCAGGTCCTGAGTTCGAGTCCCAGAACCAAAACAACTATAACAACAACAACAAAAACACACGTGTCTCATGATTTGTTATTCCTTGCATGGAATAAATACAACTCCAAATAAATATAACTTTTAATCACTGCACCATATTTCATCAAGTGAATATTCTATAGTTTTCTTGGCTATTCCCCTATGAATATACCTTGGGTTACTTCTGGATTTTTTCAATACAAAAATGTAGCGACACATCAGGCATTGTGGAACACCCTAGGAGGCTGAGATACGAGGTTCCCAAGTTCAAGCCAAGCCTGGGCAACCCCTGTTTCAAAATTTAAAAATAAGCTGGGCATTGTAATAAGCCTGTAATCCCAGCACTTGGGAGGCTGAGACAGGAGGACCACTGAACTCTGAGGCCAGCTTGGGCTACATAGTGAGTCTATCTAAGGCCATCCTGAACTCCATTATGAGCCCCTGTCTCAAACAATAACCACTGCCCCAAAACCACACACACTAAAAAAAATGCAGCCCCAGCACAAAGCCCTAGTGTTCAAACCCCAGTATAAGAAAAAAAATGCGCTAAGAACTATTTTGTATGTAAACCTTTCTTGCACATTAAGTTTTAATTCCAGATGTGAAATGAAAGGATCAAAGTCAAATATATTATTAAAGCTCTAGTATATTCTTCAGTTGGCTTCTGAAACAGTCACAGTGCTCCCTGGACCTAGTGATAGAGGTCGGATTGAGGAAAATTCACTTTTTTCACTGGAGAAGGGAAATACTTTATCACCCTGTTTTTCTAAAAGGTCCACAATGAAAGGGGAACGACCATGTCAAAGGGTCTGACAGCTAAATCCCCCTCCGCAGTGTTTTGTAGGTAAAAGAAGGTATATATGTTCCTGAAGTATGGATTATTCAAATATACAATCATTCGGCCTACGTAAGTGTATGTTGAGCCTTATAACTTGTGAGGATCGCTGTTGAAGTCCACTAACCCAGCATCCGCGCAGGCTGTTACCCCAGGTCTGAAGTCAATGGTGCAATAAGAATGTGCGAGGAGGCGAGCCACAACCAGCAGACGCCGAACCCCTGAACAGGACAATGATGACACTGGGAAATGCCACGCCTGTCTAATGTGCGACCTTCACGAAGTTGTTTTTCTATTTGTTGGTTTTTAACCACTCAGCAAAATGATTGAGATCTTTCCCAAGCATATACTTCCACACTTTTGGATAGTTCTAATATGATGTAATAATTACCAGGTTGAACATGCATTTTCCTGTTGTGCTAGGGAGCCAA